AAAGAAGATTTTTTATAATTTTTTGTAATTTATAAAAAATTATCAAATATATATCTAAAATTACTGTACCATTACCTGAAAAAACTTTCAAACGTGATCTCCAACACACTCTAAAACTACAGAGAAAATGGGTAAATTAAATTGGGGTTTTTTGTCTTTTAGTTTTAACGTGAGGTTGGCCTCTAACCTCACATTTTTACCAAAAAAGAAAAAAAAAAAGAGAAACCCTCAACAACATATAGGTGGTATTGCGTTGCAAGGTCTTCTCAATTGGGTTTCTAGTTTATCATATTACATTTAGCAGCGGAGATAAGTTTTGATATGATTTGAGAAGAAAAATGATACGGAGATTGAGGAAGGCCGAATAAAAACTCCACCATTAATGACTGTTGGTGGGTCCCATTGTGCATGGGTACGACATCATAATAAATGGTGGGGTTTTTTTTGGTTGGTCTCGCCTTCCTCAGTCTATGCCTTGCAGGAGTATAATCATCCGTTATTAGTTTGTTTTGTCTTTAGCACTTTCTTTCTTTCTTTTCTTTTTGTGAAAATGTTTTGTCTTTAGTTTGCTTTGTTCTTTTTTTGGTACTGTTTAGTCTTTGCTTAGGTCTTAATTTTGATCTTGATAGCTTGTTTGGGTAGAGTGAAGGGGTTTCCCTTTAATTTTTTCTATAATTTTAATACAATTGAATGGGGGAATGAAAGGGGAAGGAAATGAAATGATATTATCATTCCTCTTCTTTCTTTTATTTTATTTTTTTTTAAATCAAACAAAGATAATTAAGAGTTTTGGGATGGTGTTTTAACCTACTATTCAAACGCCAAGTTTTATTAGTAAAAAAATGGTAGACATTTTTTTTTTATAATAATTGATACATCTTCTGATTCAATATATTACACAATACATTTTGATTCAATCATTAAAATTTACTTTTAAAAATTTTTTCACTATAAATTCAAATTTTGAAAGTAATAATTTCTTAATAAATGTATTGTAAAGTGTATTAAATCAAAAGATATACTAATTTTTTTTAAATACATTAGATGTAATTATTTGACGACGTAAAAATTTAAATTTATAATCTTTATCTTAAATTAAAAATTTTAAATTAATAAATATTGCATCAACTTATCTCTTATTGATAAATAGTGGGGATTATTCTTTTGTTTCGGCTTTAATATTTTTGGTGCAAGTATTTTGAGATTTGCTGTATTTTTGCAACATAGAGAATCAAAGAACTTAGAAACTTACCATATTAGAAAGGGAAATATTTGAGCGTGAGATTATTTGACCATAATTTCCTTCAATTCGCTTATCTTATGATTTTCTTGTTTATTTTTTTTTATCATATTATTAAGGAATATAAGAAATATTCTACCACACGAAAGTATATAGTCACAAACAAAATCCAAAAGCAGCAATTATAAGTAAATTAATTAATAAAAATACTGTTTAATACAATCAAAAAATAAAAATCAATCCATACCTTTCTTTAACAATTTGTAACTCTTTAAATACTTCGATATTGAACAATAGCTTCTTGCTATCTAGTCTTGATAGAAAAACACCCAACCTGATTTTTTATGATTTTCTTTTTTTTTGAGAGAAGGCAATAATAATTTTGTTTAATTATTGTTGTTTTCCACTTATGTTCACATAAAAGGTAAAGGAAATACTTGAGAAAAAAACGGAATCACTTAGAGAATAAAGTAGAGAATGTTGTAGTGTAGTTCGTTTTGCACCGATAGTACTACTTTTAAGTTTTAACCATTAATGAAAGCGTGAGTCTCTAATATCAAGATTTGTTTCTTTATTAGTAATTACAAAAAGTGTAATCTAAATAAGTGAATTGTATTTCAACTTTTTGAAAAGAAATACTAGAAAAATTAAAAA